GCAAAATTAAATAGGCAAACAACAATTAATCTCGCTGCTTGCCTTACGTTTTGCATGGTTTTCCAACCCGAATTCAATCCTGACTTCCTGCTCGACGATATCCATTTTCGGCGAGTGTACGTAAGCTGGAGCTCAGCTGCAACTCGAGATGAAGACACCGCCACGAGAAATGAGACCTGCCCAGGCAGTATTTTATAACACTTTGACAAATATTGCTAATTAAACGCCGTTTCTTGGCTGCCACCTGGCCGTCGATTGGCCAACAGTGGGCCACCAAAGGGGGGATTCGGCCAGGCGAAAGGGGAAGAAAGGTGAAACGGGATCGGAGGAGCACCTATTCAAAGAGGAACTGCTGCGGAGACATCTTCGGCTTCCTGCCAGACAATTAGATGTTGCGCAATCGGGCCGTGACTTACCCCATCGATTCGAGGTGGCCAAAAACAAAGAAGATGCAACCGCGTTACGTCACCGCCCCTTTCACTCTTCTTGCTCGTCTTCGACTCCGACTTCAATGGTATTGCCAGCATCATTATGACGATCGCCGCCACATTAATCGCTGCTGCTGCTGCTGATGCTGTTGTTGCTGCTGCGACTGCATTGCGCTCGCCGAGCTGCCCAATTGAATGTCCCCCGGGCGTATGAGTGATGGCCCAGGTGGGCGTAAAGGAAGTAGCAGGTGGCAGGTGGTAGGTGGCAAACGGCAATTGGCAAGTGGCTCAGTAAAAACGAGGAGTCACTGGCATGCGTGCGAATCTCTTTTTGCTCATTAATACGCAAATTCATTCATTTCACGGTTTTTATTGGTGTGTGACTATCGCCGGGTGTTTGTTGCAGTTGCAGTTGCTACTTGAGTTTTGTCGCGCGCCTAGGAGCGTTTTTCTCTTTCTTTTGCCGCCTCTTGGCTGAGGCATGTCTTTGCGGTGGTTCCGCTTGCAGAAGACACAAGACAGAAGAAACCGAAACTAGTCTCCCAGGCACAGTGGGTCTGTATAACTCCTCCGCCGCGCAATCATTTTCTCAGTTTTCCACAACCAATTATCTCACTTTCCACTCACTCCGCTGCCTCCAGTTTGCCTGCTTTATATAATGACATGTGAGATCTGTTTGCGTTGTGGCAAATTTATGCGGCTCGACCCCCAACTTCCACTTGTTGGGCCCTGTGAACTGCTGTCAAGATTCGTCTGCAGTTTCGCTTGGAGTGGCTCAAAACGTGTGTTGACTCGAATAATTTAGACAATGCGTCTATTGTTAGAGGTCAAGAACTGAAATCTTTTAAATGTTATCGGCAGCTAAGAAATTATATTTATGTCTTCACTAATCATAAGCAAATATTTAAATTTTAAGTCACAGAATCAGGCCGATGATGCGGGCAACCTTCATCTACATACGTTGTTTATAGATATTTTTGGTAATTATTTAATGTTACTTATTAACTTTACTTATAAGTAGATTATTATTTTATTTTCCATTTAAATTTGTTACCGCTATAGTATCCACTAAAACTAACGCAAACCCCTTTTAAAAAATATTTACGTAAAATCAAATAAAAATCGACTGACGAAAGACCTAGTACAAAAGTTAATTAAAAATATTGATGGTCTATTAGTAATGAAATTTTTAAAACCTGTACAAATAAAATTTCCTGAGTAATATCAAATTTCAAAATACGAATTAATTTTTATTCGCATACATTTCTCAATCTACGTTCAAGTTTTTGATTGAATTTATGTATGCATAGTAGTTTACATTTCTTGAGTACATTGACTCATTAAATAGCATATTGATTTTTCAAGGTACAGAAAAGATAATCAAATAAAGCTATAAACAAATTACTTGCATTTTTTATAAAACATTTAAATGTTCAATCCCCGCCAACACGTTGGTCATTTCAAAACTGGCAAAATTCATATTTTACGATTCTGCTGATAAATTAAAACATTTCCTTATTACTACGATGCCGCCAGCTGAGAGCCATCGAGGGCTATGATTTATTGAGTTCCTTGGACGACAAGTTAATAAACTTTATTTGTCCAACATCTTCGTACCTGCTCACATATATTTGTTCCCACTTCGCGGTTGTTTGCTCATTTGCCTCAGATTGACAGGCTGGTGACATGGTGACAAGCGACTTGCGGCGAGTGGCAAATAGCAACAATGCCAACAAGGAAGTCGCACTGGCATCTTCCACGCGCGCCCAATTATGACAAACGTCTGCGGTGCCGAACTCGAAAGGGGAACCCCCGCCCCCCAAGAGCTCCACCCACTTCCCGACTTTCCGCTAGACTCGAGGAACTGAGGCACTGAGTTATTGCCTGCAACACCTGCGGACTTGCGGCATTGTCACTGCCGTTGCCGTTGCCGTTGCCGTTGGCGTTGGCGTTGCGTTGCGAAGACGCAACAATGTAACTGGAACCTCGAATGGGCCCTAGGCACAGGTGACAGCCAACAGGTAATTGCCAGCTTTATACGGCTTCAGCCTCAACAACTCGCTTTGTGCAACTCGGCTTATGCGGTTTTGCAGGAGCCCGGCTTGAAATGCATGCAACTCGAAATGTGGGGGTGTCGAATCGGGAGATAGTGTTCCCTGCCCTTGAAATTCAGATTCTCCTCCCTCTTTGTGTCGAAATGTGAGTTATTGGGGTCCCACTTGCAAATACTTATGGTTAAAAAGGTTAACGACTTAGGTGACGTAATTGGAAATGAAGGAAGGTAGATTTAATTGAAAATGTATCTTACACTTGCTTATTGCAGTGGCGAAACAATATGTACAAAGGTATCTTGACAAGCCCATGAATTTTAATTTAAACGCTTACATAGTCCGCCAGCTTCCTATTGTATTTTATTGAGACCATATATTTTGACGAGACTAATTTAATTTTTAGTGACCTTTACTTTTGGTTTTTGCTCAGTTTTTGCTTAGTCATTCCCTATGGAAATTATTACTACTTTTTAAATCAAATCATCTCATGTTGGCAACCTTTAGGAATTCGTAAAAAGAAATTATGAATAATGAGCACGTCATATTTGAAGTAGAATAACCCATACTTACCAGTTTTCTTTGATGTTTTTGAATATATATATATTTTTGTTCACATGAATATATTATAGAGGTGTTAAACCATATCAGAATCTGCCACATCCTATTCAGCCAAATGGTATTTTGGCCACGGATTGACACCTCCGAAGGCGCGAAGGCCAAATTGAGCCGCAATCAATAAATGCCGGCTCTGTGACATAATGTGACCCAATAACAAGCGCAAATCGCTAAAAACTGCACAACAATGCCAAATCGAACCTAATGGAATTTGTGCAGAGCGTTTTATGGCCACGCCGCTTCATCTACGTGATTTGCTTGGAACGGGGCTCAAATGCACGAATTGCTCGGATGGCACGGCACGAAATTGAAAGATTGCAGCGTCATTGCTACAAAAACGAGCAAGAGCAACACATAAAAGTGAAAAGAAAGGAAAATGGGTCAGCGGTGGTGGACGAACACCATTTGCAGATGTAATGAAACGATCGTTTTGAACACACTTTTGAGCAATTTGCGCCGAAGGAGAGCAGCGGCTACTAGTCACCGCAAACGGATAATTATTGAATAAGCGAAATTAAAGCGCCCCGAGGCGCCGATGGCCCAGAGACCGATTCGACCTCCCGCCAAAAAAACAAAAGCAATTGGCGAAACGCCGATTAATTAGGTAGCGCCACTTTGAAGCCCCGTGCGGCATTGAACTTCGACGCATCCACACACAAATTAGCGACAAATAATGGCCAAAATTGATGATCTCTCGGGTTGCGAAGAGTTTGCCTCGCCGACTCTCCGCCCTTCACGTGGCCATCAATTACGTGACATATCTGTAACATGTAATTTTATTTCCTAATCGCTATGTTTTTATCAGGCAGACTTTATCGTTGAGTTTTCGTATAACCAGGAAAGAGATGCTAAACGTTACTTATTAAAAAAAAGGGTTCAATAAGGGAAAATCAAAATGCTTATTGTTTTATTGTATTTTTTTTTTAAACATAATTTATAAAAAGAAAAATTTATACATTATGTTTATTAAAGTCACTTCTCCACAAGCAAATAAAGGAACTTAAAATTAATATCTCCATCCAAAATTTTTTAATATTTCACTGTATGACCTGCGGCACGACGCCGCACACTTGTGTGTTGCGTAAGAAGACTTCAACGCCTTCACGTCTTTCAACAACCGGTGAACTTGCCACACGCAGACGCTCAAAATTTACTTTCTTCATTCTATCAGCTACCCAAACTTATTTATGCGTGTGAACTGCGCTGCGGAGACAGCGTCCGAAAATTGTCATAAATTACTGCGCGTCTTTTCTCTCTTCTTACGTGAAATGTGATAATTCATATACCCTCAACGGAAGGCGACGTGATTACCAATGAAGCGAAAATGGATAAAAGTTTTCACTGGTTCATTTTTAATGAAACAACTTTTCACAAACAAAAAGATTTTTTTATTTCAGGTCGTAACTATTGGAAAATTTAAGAAAATTAAAAATAGTGTTCCTAAATCTTAACTTTTCTTCTTTTCCAAGACATTTGCTTTACTATTATAGTAATTTCTTCTGTACGGAAGGAATATTTTTGACAGCCTTTGAAAACAAAAAGGTTTAAGCTATACAAAATTTCTCAACCAACATTTGTATGAAAAATATAATACTTTAATCCTCTTCTTATTATCAAGTGGTTTTCATTCTCGACCTGGTTCGAAAATTTAAATTTCGCGCCATTTGATCTGTGGGGCTATGCTAGTTCTCCTTCTCTCACCATAAGCAGCTGTTTTCTCGCTCTAACAACCGTTTTAAGCACGTTCGCACTCAACCCCTATGTTAGAGCGGGACAAACCTACCTATCAGTCAGTCTTACAGTTTGAGATGCATTCGGCGCCAATTTTTGAAATATTGAGTTGCTTACAAAGCTTACCTATATTTATAACTCCAACCCTTGTTGTCCATTGGCAGTGCGATTAATATCCACGGTAAATTCAGATCTTTTATTTATTTATATACATAAACAGACATTTTCGCTACATGAACTTAACTAAGTTTATAAATTTTAAAACATTAAAGTAAGCTAAGCAACTATTTTAGGGATTTTGACTTTGAGTGGACAGCAGTGAAATAATTTAAGTTTTTAAAATAGGGTCTAAAATTAATGATTAGTTGTTGTTTGCATCGTGTACGTCTAGATGGAGCCTACTGATAGTCCTAAGTCTACGTTTCTCATGCTAAAAAGGGTCCTTCAAAACGCGTCTCAGCTGCAGTCGCCGCGGGGACTGCAGTGGAAAAGGGTTTTAGTCGCCTTAACCTAGGTTGCATATGTACAGGGTTTCGATCTTCCTCCGACGGGAGGTCACTTCATGTAGTAGCTGCTGGGAGCTCGTCCCGAGGTGTACGTGCTCATGGGAATGCCCTGGGGTCCCGGGATGTGGCTGTGGCCCGACGAGTGCGTCGCCGACTGGTTGTGCGACCCGTACAGGTGATCCACGCTTGAGTTGCCGATCCCGTTGCCAGACGGCTCGTAGTCCACATCGTAGTAGATGCCAGATTGGTTCTGTTTTGGGGAGAGAAAATGTGGGTTTCTTTAATAATAATATTTTTGTGGGTCTCTCTCTATGTTAATATTTCTGCAGAAAGGCCTGTTTAGTAGATAAACAAATCTCGCATTAAGACTGTTCCAATACTCCCATCCTCACTCTCTAATTTGGTTAAAAAATCGTTGTATCAATGAAGTAAATTTGTTCACCCCATTTCTTTACCGAAATAATTGAATATTTAATACTTGTAAAAGTTGTAACTTTCGTCTCTAAATTGTCAATCAGAATTTTATTTATGAAACGCGTTACTTACTCTAGTTCTCTATTTGAGTATTTTAATTTAATGATTCTCACGAGCGACATTTGTTTCGCTTAGTTAAAATATTATATAATTCTGTATTACGTTTTTACAATGATTTAAATTTAGCCTTTAAGAAAAACGTTAACTTGCACATTTTGGTTAGAGCTTTACACACTTAGATGACTGAATGTTAGTCCCTGGGAATGTGAAATATTTTTAGGAACACAGTTAGTTAGTTAGTTTTGGTTGCCTCACAGTCGGGTCACCTGAATGCAGCGCTCTTCTATTCCCATTTAAGGACAATGAACTCGTTTCCTACCGCTATGCTGCCGTTGCTGCGACTCTTGGGGCGCGGCACTTGGAAGTTGCGCCCCAGCAGATCGGCGCGATCCTCCTCCTCGCTCGAACTGGAGTTCTCCAGGGTTCTCATTCCATTTGAGCGGGGACCCAGGCCAAGTCTTCTAAGCCAAAGAAAAAGGGACTCAGAATGCGTTTCAAAACACGTTTTATATACCGATTTGTACCTGGGCAAGGGCACGGGAGGCGCCAGCGTGGCACTGGGGTGCATCTGCATGGTGCTCTGGAGTGACATTCCGCCCAAGGTGCCCATCCCCATGGCTCCCAGGGTGGGGTACGCAAACATCGCCGACGAGGGTCGCGTGGGTCCAATGGGCTCAGCCTGCTGGTACAAAATGCGCAATTAGTAAATAATACATGATAGTGCATTTGTTTCTTAAAACAAAATTTTCACAAAACTTAAACGACGGTTTAAAAAAGTTCCAATTTGATTCATCGGTTACAAGAAACCAAAGAGTTGACCTCAATAAATGTTTTCTAGGTGTTCATCCGCGAAAAAATGCATCAGTAATGTTTGCCAGCTACCTACCCCGTAGTGATTGGTTTGAGCCATGACATCAGCTATCTGCGCCCATCGCATGCGGTCCTCCAAAGTAACCTGGTAACCAGCCTGTGGCAATCCGGCGGACTTCAGTGGCGCGGTGTTCATGTAACCAAATACGGGCGAACCCATGGCGTTCTTCTGCTCCCGCTGCCAACGCCGAGACCACATAATGAGGCAAACCAAAGTCAGGACGATGATGATGATGGCCGCCACGGAGGCGCCGATGGCCACGCCCAGCACCTCGCCGTCGATCTCGCACTGGGCTCCATAATGGCTGGAGTCGCAGGAACACACCTGGGATCCGTCCTCCGCGTAACTGCAGGTGCCATGGTTGTTGCAAACCGAGTCCGCGCATGCCTGGCACTCTCGTCCGGATCTCGCTGGCTGGTCGGCCCACGGATCCCGGAGTCCCGCCTCGCAGGCGCAGCGGAAACTGCCCCAGGTGTTCGTGCAACTGGCTCCAGAGTGGCAGTCATTCAGCTCAGGCGACTGGCACTCATCCAAATCCTGGAGGGCGGACACCGCTCCTTCGGGAGAACTTACGTACAGCACGGAGTTGCCAATGTTGTTGTTTCGTCGGTGGAGAACTCCTAACAGATGTTTCTGAACGTCACTTCGCAGATTGGGTCGCAATGTCTCCACACTCTCGTCCAGCTGGAGTAGGGAAAAGAGAATAAATCTGGTTTCTCCACGAGTATTTTGGGAGTAAATACCTTGATGGTCATGTTCACGTACACTCCGCTGCCACCCAAGTTGGGATCGCCTCGGTAAATGTTGTTCACCTTCGCTTCCATGAACTCATCTGAGTAGGGCGTCATCGACATGGCGGAGTCCAGCTGAAAGACACAATATTTTGGTTGAATTAAGTGAATATGTTAAAAAATGTTCCCTTAAAAACTATTCAGATAAAAATGTGAATCTTCTTCATAATAAAATAAGAACTCTATGTGATTTTTAAAGAACAAAACAAAAGTAAGAGTCACAAAACTTAAGAGTCACAAAAATCTTATCTGATTTATGGGATGGAAATTTTTCATAACATCCCATTGTGTTAATTTATCCTACAACAGTTTTACAGATAGTACGAAAAGGAATCTTTAGTATTTCATTATGTTAATATCATTGATTTGTATACCAAATTACAGAAATTAAAGAAATGTTTGACTTTAAACGAAAAATTCTGAAGGGATAACTTTTTTGAACTCTCCATTCGCATAACAACAACTTACCGCTCTTATGGACTCATAGCTGAGTTGTCCGAAGGGTTCGCTGTGCTTGTCCATCAACTTGGTGTCCCAGACAATTCGGTGCTCGTAGATGCGGTCGACGCGCATGCCCAGATGGAATGAGATGACCCGTCGGCACGGTTCCCGGTGCTTTCGCCGGGAGTATCCTTTAAGAAAACGATGAATTGCATTTAGTTCAACCTTCCTTTTTGGGGATCCCCCTTGAAGTCACCCACCTGGTCTGCAGTGGCAGCTGGAGACGCCGTTGTCCGTCTTGCACCGCTCGTGCTGCGCCTGATCGCAGGTGGAATCGTCGCCCACAATGCAGGTGTCGATCCTCACGGGCGGCTGCGTCGGCCTCTGGCGGTAGTGGGGCCTCGTGGGTCCTGCATTCGTGGTCGAAGGGCCTCCTCCCTGGGGCTTGCTGTGTCCCTGGAGGTCCACCACCTCCGTTTCGGGCACCACGTAGCCACCACTGCTCTGGGTGACCGCGTTCGGTGGAACAGCAGGTGAGCTGGAGCCACCACTACCACTACCACTGCTGGCACTAGCTGCTGATCCCGATCCCGATTCCGATCCTAATCCCGATCCTGATCCCAATCCCGATCCCGATCCCGATCCTGAGCCAGGCAACTGGGGCAGTCGCGTGGCCGGAGAGGTGGCTCCCGCTGGGGCATCTGTGGGGTCACCAAAGAGATTGATGTAAGTGCGCTTGCCGTCGATCGAGACAAAGCCGTCGTCACCTGAGGCGGACACGATGATGTCGCCCTGCCCTCCGCCCGCCGCGTAGGTTCCGTACGGCTTGATGTTGATCGTCTGCTGGGAGCCGCTGCCCTTGGGTCCCGGTCCCTGGATGGCGGACAGGGTCACGTCGAAGATCTCCCCGTAGCCGGGTGGCAAATGCTGCCGCGTGGGCTGCACCGCCGGCAGGGGGAGGGTCTGCTGGGCGTTGGGCGGCCGCTGGTTGGGTGGGCGTGGCCGACCGCCGGGCTTGAACTCGGGGTCATCGAGGACGATCCCGGGACGGGGATGGTAGGGGGCGGGCGGAGTGGCATTGGTGTTAGCATTGGAACTGTTAGGCGGCCCACTCTCCGTGGAACTCGAGGCAGGTGGTGGGTTGGTGGTGGTGGTGGTGGTGGTAGTGGTGGTGGTTGAGATGGAGCTGGTGGTGGTGGTCGTTCTGGAACTGGTACTGGTACTGGTGGTAGTGGATTCTGTGGAGGACGTGGGCTGGATGACTGGAGCGGGACTCGAGGACGAGGAGATGGTCAGCGAGGAGGTGGCGCTGTTTTCCAGCCCGGGTGTTCGGTTGGCGGTCATGAAGATCACCTCCTCGGTGGAGGGATCCAGACCCAGGCTCTCCGAACTGTCCATGGACATGGGCGCATAGGTGGAGGTCATGCCTATCACAGTGTGCACCACCGAGCTGGTCTCGATGATGGTGGTGGTGAAGCCCTCATCCGCGGGGGACTCCTTCCTCTTTTCACCCACTGGTTTCGGCTTGTGCTTCTTCTTCGACGGAGTGGTTGGTGCAGTTGGGGGATTGTTGGTGGTGGACGGTGGAGCGGGAGGCGGTTGCAGTTCATCCTCGACCTCTCCACCACTGGTGGCATCCGTGTCCTGGTCGGACACCTCGATGTACTGGGCGTTGGCGTCCTCGTTGGAGAACTCCGAGTCGTAGGTGGTGTCCGTTGGTAGCACCACATCTTCCCCTAGTTGCGGTTGACTCTGTTCCTTCTCCTGCTCGTTCTTCTTGTCCATCGGTTCCTGGGGCTGGGCAGAAGTCTGGGTCTGGACCTGCGGAGCCGGGAGCGGTTTGTACTGCGGGAGCGGTCTCCGGTTGCCGCCCACACTCGTGGCAATCGGTGGGCGTGGCTTGTTGCGGTACCACGGCGGACGGTTGCTCACGAACCCCGGACGCACGGGCACGATCTGCTCCGGAATGGGGACACCCGTGATGAAGGGACGGTCCGGTCGGTCGAAGGGATACGGCGGCGGTCGCATCGAAGTGCCGGGCTTCTGGGCCTCGTAGTCGATGGGCAGGTTCTGGGCCTCGGAGATCCTCGGCGGACCCCTGTTGTTGATCCTGCTGGCCGAGGGACGCCTCACCCCCTGGGTATTCGCGTGGACATTGACGTTGCCGTTCAGGAGCTTAACGATTCCCGTGATGATGTCCTGGATGTCGGGGTTTCCGTTCTGGCGCGGGTTACTCGGCGACTGGGTGGCACTGGCTACCGGCGTCGCTGAGGTGGCAGAACTGCTCGGACTCGGCCGGATCGGGGACCCCGACACTTGCGGTCGCAGGTCCCCCCGCCCTAAAAAAGACTGCTCCGAGCTGCTGCCGCCCCCCCGAGAGCGTCTTCCCGGCCCTGATCCCCGCGTGCGTTCGCTCAGGCTGCTCTTCCTGGTTGTCGAAGGTGCCCGTCGGCTTGATGTTGTAGTGGAAGTACCTCCCTGCCGAGACGTCCTTCTCCAGGTCCTCCGGGAAGTTGACGTCGTTGGGTCCCATGGGCTGGCGGTCGTTCAGGATGGGCGACGCCGAGCGCTCCACTCGCTCCGCCCGCGCCTCGTTCTCATTGACACCATGGGGCATTGAAAGTCCTTCTGCCAGTCCGTTTATGGAGTCCGCCACGGTGCTCTCGATGCTCAGGCGGGCCGGACTGCGATGGCTGCTCGACTTCGGCGATATCTGCGAGATGCTCTGTTGCTGGCCAGCTAAAAAACGAGGGAAAAACATTTTGTTAGAAAGTATAAGGAAAAAAAATCAAGGAAATTTGGGATCCCAATATTTTTAAAAGGATTTGAGGATATTAAGACATCTTTATTTTTTTTTTTTTTTTGCATATCCAACTCATGTTTGTTTTAGGAGCAGTGTGTAATGCGCACTAGGGTCCTTTCTGATGACTTTCACTACTAAATCGAAGTAATGTGTAAATTAAATATTATAAACATATAATATTATTAATGATATATAAAAGACTTTCCAATTTTCTGGATCCCTTTTATTCACTAAATTCCTTAGCCAACATAAAATCGTTAAATAAAAGCAAAAAGCGTTCAAAATACATATTACAAAAATATAAGAATTACAATACTTCAAATTTTAATAGAAAGATGGGTAACATGACTAAGACACACCATGGTACATATTTTTAATGAAAAAAGTTCGATAAAATATTCTTTGCTTACAATTTATTGAAAGTGATAATACAGAAGAAAAAACCTCTCCCCAAGACTCCTGACAATAATTCAAATTAAACGGGTTGTTTTCACACGTTTTTCAATCGTATTTCTTTTATCCATCAATATTAAGAGTGGCCTTAACGATGCATGACATTTTATATTCAATCATATCACTATCTAATCCGGCCTTCTTTATCTGTCAATACTGAGAATGGCCTAAACGATGCATGACATTTTATACCGCAAGAAGACGAGAAGAAAGGGAAAGATTTCAGTGAAAAGAGCGTCGCATTCCGATGCTCGGTTTCCCTTGAATCCATCATTGCTTCGGAAGAATCTTCACATTGGCGGTTTCACTTTTCACTTGCCCCATGCACCTGCCCTTGCCACTCCAACCGAACCCAACCTGGTTGCCCCTCCCTCCTGCCACTCCGTCATTGTCAACGCGATTCATTTGCATTTGGGAGGAAACAAACAAAGGGCAGCCCGTCGACTCGGATCAGTTTCAATCTCTGTCGCAGGCTTTGCCAGGCATCATTTGTTTTCGATGTCAAGTCTGCGCCGCCGCGTCTTTGTGCTCCGCGTTCTTTTCACTCTCTTTGCATATAATTGAGTGGGTTTTCCTTCAAAATTGTGGGCTTGCAAGCGGGGCATGTGGATATAGCTGATGGCTCGCATATCTGTCACAATGGCGAAGGCCTGTTACTGATTACCCGGGGCACACAAACAGACGTACAATCTCTTGGCTGCAATCGCAGATACAAATACGTGGGTACTTAGATACATGGCCTCGGGCCAAATCTGCACTCGCTTGGCAGCCTCGGAAGAATTTCACAAATTGCTACGTCAAGCGTTGAAAAGATGCCAGCCGAGGTTGTTGCGCGGCTGATTTTCATCATTTTCCTCGGATATGGCAGATAAATGAGAACCGCCACGGGCAACTTAAATATAGATTGTAGTCGCGCAGAATGCAGATGGCAATCGAATGGGGACAAGCACTTGAACCTCCCCTTGTCGAACGCAGAGATCTCGAGTAGGCACTCCTTATCGCAGCTTAGGCCGCAATTTCCCACTCTCATCAAGGCACCAATCACACTGAGAGAAATGGGGGCTACCAAAAACAATTTCTAATATTATATATGCAGTCAAACTTCCGTAAGTAGAACTCCAATCGACCAGTAGAAAACATATCATTTAAAAAGTTCTATTGTTTAGAAAAACTCAATGTAAGGAAGTTTGGCTTCAGCAAATAAGCCGCCTGCTAGTCGAGAATGACTATAATTTTGTGTGATTCTTTTCGGTGCGATATTCGAAACCATCGATAGCTGTTTGAATCTTCAAACAAACACAGATCTCACTCGGCACTGAAGTGGGACCCAGCTATTCTTTGACACCTTCCCGAAAAGATTTATTTGCCGCTGGCTTTCTATGAGTGAGGCCCTTGTCTCCCCCCGATTCCGTTGGTTGTCAGGTGCATGTCATCTTTTGGGCTCTGCAGAGGGAGCCAGAACCAGTTTAAGGTTGGCACAACAATCATAATTCACACTCGCCCGCCGAAACACGTTTAGTTATTGAGCTTAACCCAATTGCCGAGCGGCTTTGGTGGCTCTTTGTGGGTCTCGGGGCTTTTTGATTAAGTTTGGCACAGATTTTACTTTCACCTGTCGCTAAACTGGCTCGACTCTGATTGAAATACACAATATTTGTTTCACTTTCTTCGTGCCAGGTATTTGTTGCGATTTTGATATAATTAACGCTTCCTTTTGGGCAGGCAAAACAAAAGGCGGCGACACAGTTTTCACTTTCTTGCCTGAATTGTTAATTTTCCAGTTTTCCTTTGGATTTGGATTATTGATTTTCAAGCGCGCCTGCGATTGGGATTTTGATTGGGCTCGGTTGGCGGTAAAAGTGAGCCGGCGGCTGTGAAATGCCCAGACATGGACAAAGCTGGTTAAATGTGTAACGCAATTTGGGGTACGAAATTGAATTCCGTTTTGGAGCGGGGCATGCAACACTTTCACGGCCAGGCCGCAACGAAAGTAAAACCCGGACCCCCAAACCCCCAACCTCCACACTCCGATCCCCCTCTTCTATTACACAGCCAGTCGGGTTGGGTTGAATGCACCCGATATGACAACAACATGGAGACAACAGAAACAGTCGTCATTAGTTCCAGTGCTTGCCTCCACTAATTTGGACGCCACTCCGACGAGGACGCACGACTTGTGCCCTGTCTCTTTTTCTTTTTCCCCATTTAAGCCAAGCCCACACCGGCGGCAGTTCCTTCTCCTTCAACCCAATGACAAGCCCACTACAGCTCCATTCAAATTGGCGATTTCAGCGCCTCCAAATTGCCGACAAGAAATCACTTTCTATTTCGCTGCACTTTTCGGCTGTTTCTTAACGTGGCCAAGTGCTGAAACCGAAATGAAGTCCGCCTGCTCGCCTCTAATGTGGGCAAAGCTGGCGGAGATAATTGCTTATGAAATACGACAGTTTCTGTTTCTGTTTCCACTTCGATATTTAACACACGTTCCCAAACATTGCGCATACGACATGTTTGCCCAGTGCGCTTTAGGCGAATATTTTACGGGGGGAAGGGGGTAGGCAATATTGCGCAATAATAACATATAATGGTCTGCTCAAAATGCCGGCGACAATTCGTCGCGTTTTCACCAAAAATAAATGTATGTAATTGCATTTAAATAGGTAAGTTATGCAGGAAGACGAATTTCAATGACAATTGAAATAAAGCGATTACCATTACTCAGCAGTCACTGTATTCAAAAGAAAATGTGTACCAGCTGTGTTTTGTAGTTTATTCCCTATGTATGTTTTTGCTGCTTCGTATTTAAAAGCATTGCATTTAATAAAAATTATATAAATATACACAGACACAGAAAAATAAGAAAACTCGTATAAAATTTAAGCATTTCTTTAAGAAATGACAAAAGACGTTGGGCTCTAGTTCTTTGTCTTTATATATAATAAAGCCTATAAATTGAGAATTTAAAGCTATGACTCCACACATATACACATTTTTTTCTTAACAAATTCCAATCATATCCAATCCATTCACATTTCTCCAACCTCTGATATGTCTACTGCTTACGATCAAAACCATTCAAGTAATCTAAGACAACAAATCTAAACAAATCCCCCAAAAATACTTCTCTCACCTCTCTCCACTTTTTCCATTTTATGAGCTTGTTGCCTAACCTTCTTTCATCTTTTTGAATTGGCCCATAAACACAGCTTATGGGCCGTCCCATTGTGAATTCCGCAGACCCTTCGGCGAAGATTTCTATTAAAAAATATACGTGGTCAGTCCCACATCTCGAAATGCCATCGCAGCTGGCACGCCCTGAATTCGGGGTTTTAGAACGCACTTGAATCGGCTGAGCCCAATCCAATCCACTGTTTTCTAGGCCCTGTCTAACGCAGTCCAAGGCGGGCTATTAAAATTTGATTTAATGCTAATTGATTCTCCGGACATTCGACTTTCGTTGTGGGCGTTGTGGGCCCAAGCCAAGGCAACGGATGAAATGGAACTGCCAGGGAAAGTCGTAGAGCACCGGGTTCTGGGGCGGACTGACCAGCTCGCCTCCGTTCGTGGGAGCTGCAGAGTCATTCCTTGGGCATTTCATTAGCAAAGCAAATAAAGTATCTTTGGCCCGGGCCCAAGCACTTGTGCAATCAAACCGTCAACTGGTCGGTGTTGTTGTTCAAGAGTTGTCTGCACAAACAATTGGCCATGAGCAGAACCTGAAAAGCGCCTTGGCCAGACCATTCTCCACCTCCATCTCCATCTGTATCTCCGCTGCGGAGCTGAGATGCATGAGCTGCAATTAACAAAGTGACGACGACAACGGACACATGGCAGTCCAAGACAAGGTAAACTGCACTCCACACCACTCCATTCGACAAGAAGTTGTGTCTGGTGAAATTGAAGCATTTCGCTGGAGAACCGATTTTCCGCATCCATATTTAGTGGATGGCCATGACTCTTGGCCTTTGGCACTGCACGAGAATTTTGCCTTTGGCAGCTCGTGCCTGGCACTTAGATACGTCTAAAGTATTTTGAACAATATAAATTACTTGCAGCTCTGCAGAAAGGATATATCTTAGGGAAGTTTTCTTAAGGTTTGTTTGTATGTTGAAAACATTAAACTAACCTAACAAAAGATGGTAATTGGGCTACCTATGGTTTATTTCCCCAAACCTTCTCAGGTTCTTAGTTGCTTTACAAAAGCATTATTTGTTTCCATTTCAGTATATAAATTTAAGTACAACTTACATTCATTACCTGTGGGGTATTTTTACAACGCAATCCAATATATGTATTATGTTATGCACTAATGTATGTTTAATGGGAGATCAAGTAGTACCCCTATCTCACTTTGAGTTCTTCGAGTGTGCTGGGCTGTATCCTTCGTGTTAGCCGCTCAGACGCAGGTCCAAAGCGAATGACCTTAATCAAGGTCTAGCTCTGATCTAACCGCGTTTCAGCCAGGTCTGAAGAGGGAGCCAAA